ATAGGGCCACCCATACCGGGCAGGCCCGCGGAACGACGGTGGACCCGTAGGGTCGTGGTAGGGCGGGTCTCCAAGACCTGCGGCGCGGCAGGGCTGGTCAACTCGGCCACCCTGTCGGGCAATCGACGAGGATGTGTGGCAGCACAATAACTTGCAGAGGACTTCGGTCGGTGTATGGCGGCCTTCATGGCTCGCGGCGCGGCAGGGTTGGTCAACCCGGCCACCCTGTCGGGCGTAAGGTCGAGGACGTGCAGCAGCACGCTAAACTGCTGAGGACTTCGGTCGGTGGATGGCAACCTGCAAGGTTGCGCTTATTTGTCGGGGACCTCACCCTGCTTCGAAAAGGCGGTTTCCGGTGTCCGACAACACCGGACCAACCCAGCATGATGGCAAGTTTTAAGACGAATTTACCCCAGGAGGGTACCACCAGCTCCGCTGGTGGAGAATCCCTCCCCGAGGCCACTTTGGCCTCGGGCTGCCCCTCGTACTCTGGGGGGGGCAAAAACTGCTTTGACTGCACGACGACTTTGGCTTTGGATACGGTTACAGATGCACGCGATGTGGAAGTGACGGGGAGCGGTGTAGATGAGGAAATGGAGCTGGACACGGAGCTCATGCTGAGCGAGGACTCAACATCTATGTCCGAAACCAGCCGCCGGGCTAGTCCGATGCCCAGGAAGAGAAGAGGACGTCCGCCCACCACGGGCCACTATGTCGGCCTGGCTAAGGCCAAGCTGGCACTCGTCGAGGCCGAACGTGAAGAGGAGCGGAGGAGAGCGGAGGCAGAAGTTGTCGCTGCCTCTCGCGCGGCTCGGGCTAGAGCCCAGGCCCACAGGATGCCGGAGTTGGTATCTGAAGACGAAGAGTTTCAGGCGGCCGGCTCCCTCAGCCAAATGATTGAGGAAAACGTCGAGGTAATCAGGAAAGTGGCCACCACGTCCAAAAACCTGAAAGGGGGTTACGTGCGAGCCCTAAAAGACGCAGCTGAAGAGATCAGCAAGATGGCAAGAGCTCTGCAGGGCCGATGCTCCACGGAGGAAACAAAAGGACTGCAGGCGGACAACGCTCGTCTGCGAGCGGAGGTAGCCCAGCTACGGCAAGAGGTGACTGAGATGAAGGCTCACCTCCTAACACCGAACGTGAGGACAGAGGATGCCGCGGGGATTAGGCAGCCTGAACCACAGCGGCATCGACAAAGTGACAATGAGGAGTTAGTGCGCACTATCCTGTGCCAAGTGGGCACTATGATAAATGCCCGATTTGAAGCGCTGCAAGACCGGCTTCTTCCGGAGAAGCGCCTCCGTCCCCCGCTGGCGGCGGACAGTAGGCCCGAGCTGACGGACCACAGCGCACCGGAGGCACCAAAAGTGTCGGGGAAAGTCATGGGCAAAACTTCGGGCAAAGCCCCGAAAAAAGTCCCGGGAAAGCCCGCAAAAGAGAAGACGACGGAACCGCAGGCCCCACCCCAACCAAGGGTGGTGGCGGTAGAGCCGGAGGACCAACAACCCAAAGAGATGCCCTGGAGCACGGTGGTCAAAAAAGGGCTAAGAAAGAAGAAGGATCGACCACGGGTGTTCACAAACACCGATCGAGGAAAGGCCCCAAGAGCTCCACCAGACAGCTCACCAAAGACTGCTGCAGTGGTGGTTACAATTACACCGGAGGCCATCGCAAAAGGCCTCACTTATGACGCGGTCATTGCCGAGGCCAAAGCGAAAATTAAACTACAGGACGTGGGCATCACAACCGGAGTACGCTTCCGGGTGTGCGCCACAGGAGCGCGAAGGTTTGAGGTCCTGGGGACGGAAAATGGCCCACAGGCTGACGCCCTAGCGGGAAGGCTGACGCAAATCTTTGATGGAGACTCGGTCCGCATAACCAGGCCGGCCAAAACGATAGAAATAAAGATATCGGGATTAGATGACTCGTCGACCATTGACGAAGTATTAGCAGCGGTTGCCGAAGCAGGAGGCTGCGCGAAAGATAGCCTCAAGAGCAGCGGGGTGGTCAGAGACAGGTATGGAGTAGGACATGCCTGGGTGGAGTGTGCAGTTCCAACGGCGAAACGGGTGGCGGCGGCAGGTCGCCTCACAATATCTTGGGTGACTGCCAACGTTACGCTACTGGAGCCCCGCCCATTGCGCTGCTACCGATGCCTGCAAAAGGGGCACGTTAGAGCGCAATGCAATGCGGAGGTTGATAGGAGTAAGTTGTGCTTCCGCTGTGGGGTAGAGGGCCACAAATTTAAGGGCTGCCTGGCCAAGCCGCACTGTACCATCTGCGCGGCGGCCCAGAAACCGGCGGAGCACAAACTTGGAGGTAGGGGATGCTCTGCTCCAGCCCCCAAGGTCACCAGAGGGAAGAAGACGCTGCCACAACCAGCACAACATCAAGCGCCAGGAGAGGTCGCCATGGAGACGGACGAAGACGGAAATAGAAATGGCTCTACAAGTACTGCAAGCCAATCTTAATCATTGCGCACGTGCTCAGGATTTACTCTTGCAGAGTATGACTGAGTGGTCGACGCAGTTAGCTGTGGTGTCCGAACCTTACTTTGTTCCCAACAGGGATGACTGGGTAGGGGACGAGGAAAATCTAGTAGCGCTCATCGTACCCCGGTCCGCGGGATCCCCGTCTATTGATGGGGTTCAAAAAGGCCGTGGGTACGTGAGCGCAACAGTAGGAGGAACCTTGGTCGTAGGCGTATACTGTGCCCCCAGCAAAAGCCTCGCAGAATTCGAGGTTCTTCTCCATCTCATTGGAATCCTTGTAGGCAGAAATCTCCCCCATTCCGTGCTGGTCATGGGGGATTTTAATGCCAAGAATTCTGCGTGGGGTGGCGCAACCACGAATGCTCGGGGTGCAGTATTAGAGGAGTGGGCCTTGACCCTGGGTCTTTGCATACTAAATAGGGGATCGAGTCCAACTTGCGTTCGGCCGCAGGGCAGCTCCATAGTGGATTTATCTTTCGCCTGCCCTGCGACTGCGAGACGGGTGTACGGTTGGGAGGTAGTGGAAGGTGTGGAGACACTATCCGACCACCGATACATCCGTTTCGCTTTATCGATGACATCAACGGTCCCAGCACACCAGGGACCGGAGTCGCTCCACAGAGACACCCCACGGTGGGTGGTGAAGCGGCTCAACCCGGAATTATTGACAGAAGCTGCCCAGGTCGAGACATGGACACCTGCGGACAGCTCACCCAACGTTGACGACAGGGCTGCCGAGCTGCGTGCGTCGATGACTCGTGTATGCGATGCATCGATGCCGCGGCAAGGCCCCCCACCACGGAAAAGACACGTGTACTGGTGGTCGGCAGATATAGCAGCATTGCGCTCTGCGTGTGTATCTGCCAGACGCCAGTACCAACGACAACGCCGGAAACGACAGAGAGACGCTAACACCGAGGAAAGTCTACTCAACACGTATAAGACTGCGAGACACGAATTGAGTCGAGCTATACGTGAAGCAAAGGACAGGGCGCGGGAGGAGATGGTAGAGACCCTAAATCTTGATCCTTGGGGTCGTCCATACCTAATGGTGAGAGGGAAACTCCGGACGCAGGCGTCGCCTCTGACGCAGAGTCTCCAGCCCCAACTGGTGCGGGAGGTGGTGGCATCCCTCTTTCCCAGCGGAGTGGCGCACACGCCGCCTTACAGGATTCCGAACACCAGGAATGAAAATCCTGGCTCCGTTGGGGAAGAGGTCATTCCACCGGTCACCCCTGGCGAGTTTGGGGCTGGGATTCACCGGCTACGTACCAAAAGGACGGCTCCGGGGCCTGATGGCATACCGGGCCGTGCCTGGGTGCTAGCCGCGGACTCATATGAGGAAAGAGTTGTGGGGCTGATGGGCGACTGCCTCGCTCAAGGACGTTTCCCCCTGCTGTGGAAGAACGGCAACCTGGTCCTCCTTAAAAAAGAGGGCAGGCCAGCCGAATCCCCTGCAGCGTACCGGCCCATAATTCTGCTCGACGAGGTGGCGAAGTTGTTCGAGCGTGTTATCGCCAATCGACTCGTCCAACACATGGCGGTGGTCGGCCCGAACCTGGATGAGAAGCAGTTCGGCTTCAGGTCGGGCAGGTCCACCGTCCATGCTATAATGAGGGTCAAGAAGATAGCGGAGGAGGCTGTTGCCCAGGGCGATGTCGTTCTTGCGGTGTCCTTGGACATCGCAAACGCATTTAACACCTTGCCCTGGAGCTGTATCATCGAAGCCCTCCGCTATCACAAAGTGCCAGACTATCTACGGCGAATAGTGGCCGACTACCTCTCGGATAGATCGGTCTCCTACAGGAGTCGAGACGAGTGGTGCCGGCATGAGGTCACCTGTGGCGTTCCGCAGGGCTCAGTCCTCGGTCCACTTCTATGGAACGTGGGCTACGACTGGGTGCTGCGGGGCGCCAACATACAAGGTATAGACGTTACCTGCTACGCAGACGATACTCTGGTGACGGCGCGGGGAAGCTCGCACCGAGAGTGCGCGATCCTCGCGACGGCCGGAGTAGCCCAAGTGGTGGGCAGAATTCGGGCACTGGGCCTGGAGGTGGCCCTACACAAATCCGAGGCCCTTTATTTCCACGGACCTCGGAACAGGCCACCGCCAGGAGCCCACATCATCGTTGGCGGCGTGAACATCAAAATTGAGGCACACATGAAATACTTGGGCCTCACGCTAGACGGTAGGTGGTCCTTCGAGGGCCATTTCCGGAAGCTGAGTCCCAAGTTGCTGAGTACAGCCGCTGCATTGGGCAGTTTACTGCCCAATGTTGGTGGCCCCAAAGCGGCCTGCCGGCGACTATTCATGGGCGTCGTTAAGTCAATGGCGCTTTACGGTGCCCCTGTATGGAGCGGCGCCCTGAACTCCCGGACCATCGACGTATTACATCGGCCACAACGAACTATGGCCATAAGAGCGATTCGTGGCTACCGCACAGTTTCCTATGACGCGGCCTGCACCCTGGCGGGTTCCCTGCCATGGGTGCTGGAAGCAGAGGTGCTTGCGGCAGTCCACGAATGGCGCGAGCGGAAAACCTTAATTGACGGAGCTCCACCCTTAAGGGTGGAGGTCGAAAATTTCAGGAGGACAAGGCGAGAAGCAGCGGTGACCAGCTGGGAACGTCGCCTCCGCCAGACGCGGGCTGGGGCCAGAACAATCGGGGCAATCTGTCCAGTGTTCATGGCGTGGCTGAGGAGGAGACACGGGACGGTAACCTTCCGATTGGCGCAGGTGCTGTCGGGACATGGCTGTTTCGGCAGTTATCTGCGCCGTATCGGGAGGGAGCCGTCTGCAGTGTGCCACCACTGTGACGATTGCCCCGAGGACACTGCCCAGCACACGCTAGCGGAGTGCCCGGCGTGGGCGGAACATCGGAGGGACCTTGTGGCCGCAGTGGGCGAAGATCTTTCCCTGTCGGCCACAATAAAATCAATGGTCGGATCGGACGAAGCGTGGAAGGCCGTCCAAATCTTCTGCGAGGTGGTGATCAAGATCAAGGAGGAAGCGGAGAGGGCGAGAGAGGTGTCTAGTGAAGACGCCATGCGTAGCCACCGCACCGGGGGGAGAAGAC